AGTTGTATGTATGTAGTTACCTCCCCCGGCAATTATTTATTCTAATATTCTCTTTACAGCGAGTGGAACCGGCCCATATGCACGCCATCTAGCCAAGAACGTTTTCAAAACAGGGAACCGAATCACTAGAGTCTCCACATTGACAGTCCCGAAATTTGAAGAATTACTAGGTGACTTGACGTCGGCAGGTGAGAGTGACTATTGTCTACTAGGGCCTTTTCTCAACCACATGCTGATCTCACATGCACAGTAGTTGGCTGTACGACGCAAGATCCAATTGCAGAGATCGCAGCGCAGTTTATCTATTTCTCTTCGACACTATCGGTCTCACAACAGGAATAGCTGCCGTTTTTGCGATCGGATGGATGTATCATCTCAATTTCTGCATTGCCGCCTGGTGACCTACTAGGCTGCTACAGGTTCGGATCTGATGCGTCTACCGCGCAACCCGACAATACGGATCTATGCTCGGGTGGCACTCAATCTGCAGGATTGCTTCCGTAAAAGGCGAACACTGTTCCAGAATGTTCGTTTGAGTATATCTGGGTGGAGCCGAAGCAGGATCTGGATATTTTGGGCACTTGCTTGAGGGAGGAAAGCTAAGGCTGGTCGTGGGAAATGTTGTTAGCTTTGATGGCATTGAGGCGGTTTGACGGGTATGTCAAGTTATATATAATGCAAGGGAGTTTTTGTTAAGGCTGTCGTCAAAATGGAGGAGTTGACAGTAAACCGCAGGAAGAACAGGCAAAGAGTTGTCTCCATTTTTCTCCTGTCAGAGGACAGATTTTCTGAACTAGTATATAATACTACTTGTAAAATACGGTCAGTACAAGTTAGTATTGTCTGTCATACATCGATTTTCAGTTTGTGAGATCATTTGGTATTTAGAACGATGTATAAATCAGCCAAACTTTACTATTGACGTTGGCACATATCGTGGTTCCGATGACGGCCTGTGCATTGTGATATATAATGTGGCAAGACAGAGATTTTTGTGACCTATTTGTTGCACGGCTTGTACTATTCGACATGTAATTCTTTACAGAGATCAGAGACGAAAGACCATCTCAAGAATCGCATTAGGCATATATCATGCCGTACGCATCATCACGAACGTAATCCAGTCGCCGAAAGAAGAGTGGCACTCTTTGCAAACTGACCGAATCCCCAGTGCGGAATAGAGCTTTGCGGTCTCGAACACCGAGATATGCAAGCGCGTTAATATATGAAATCACATTGAAGATCAGGATGAGAAATTACCGATCCAGAAATGATCTTCAATCTTTTCTTCAGATTCGGTGGACGTTGCTATACTTCAAGTGTGTTTATATTGTATTGGCGTTGCTGTAGAAATAGGAACCTTACTACAAACAGCAGGCGGTGGAGGATCCAAAAGCGGTGGTCGATTGCTTTATCGATAACGCTAACCCAAACCGGTAAGTAACCTTGTCGCAAAATGAATTTTCGTTGGGCCAAACCATCGACATTTGATAGTAAATCTTCAGACAACATCAATCTAAACATATCAAATTACCTTTATTCTTCGCGCGGGGCCATCGTGTGATTGGAGAGCGTGTGAATCTAGATAAACTGAACCCACTTTCCTGCGGCAATGGCGCAACATCAGGCCGGTTCTAAGAAGAGACGCCGCGAGCCAGTCAACGTTGATACCAAGCTGGTGGAAATATACGAAGATCTTGCAAGCGAGAAAGATGAGATCAGACTGAAAGCTGCGCAAGCGCTGGTGTCGCAATTTACGCCCGACAAGGATGCCACAGATGAACAGATCAAAAAGACCCTGCTGAGACTCTTCCGCGGCCTCTGCAGTAGCAGAAAGGCTGCGCGCATTGGTTTTTCTATCGCCTTGACTGAGATTCTGTCTCAAGTTCTGTCCAACCCCAGAGAGTCTTCGGAAATCGATATCCCGAAGGTCGTGGGGTTCTGGGAGTCACAGTCTAGCGCTTCCGGAAGCGAGTCAGGTCAGGTATGTTTAAAGATTCCCCTGCCTGTGTTCCGTTGCTAATGGAATTATGAAGGAACAAAGAGATCATCACTTTGGACGCCTATTTGGTGCTGAGGCTATTATCAAGTCTGGTATTCTTTTCAAGCCCAAGGCGCCTTTCTCTGAGTGGACCAAACTCTTAGATCTGGTCTTTGATCTGGCCAAGAAGAAGCCATGGATCCGGGAAGAATGCGGCTGGATCGTGTACCGCTGTGTGTATGAATTATCTGCTCAGAAGGCCGACGCAAAGTTCGTGGAATCAGCTCTTGAGCGTCTTTGCACAAATGACCTGGCACGGACACCAGAGGGAGTTTCCATTTGGCTAGCGGCTAAGGACTTATTCCCCAAAGTGCATCTTCCTAGTAAAGTATGGAAACATGACGACCCATTGGACGCCAAGGAGAGGAATCAGCTGGCAAAGGTCATGAAGGAATCCTCAGTGTCTGAGGCCGAAGGTGAAAATAAGGGTAGTAAGGCTAAGGCATCGGGCGTGTGGAATTCAAAGCTTCACTTTGCTTGGGATGCTGTGTTATCCAGGCTTAGCGAAACATCAGCAAAGGAAAGCAAATCAAAGACCTCTCGGCTTAGCTTCATTGATTTCTGGACAGAGGTTGTCGACAGTACGTCTCCCTGTTTGCCCTAACAAAGGTATTGGTTCTAACTAACCTTAAATAGATGGTCTGTTTGCCGCTTCCTCCTCGGACGAGCGTAAATACTGGGGCTTCCTTCTCTTCGTCAAGGTGTTGAATGAGAGCCCCTTGCCATTGGCTTCCCTTGTGTTCACAAAGAACCTTGTGAGGTGCCTTACGAATCAGCTCGCCGTTGAGGACCGATACCTTCACCGTATGGCAACCAAGGCTGCTAAGACCATCCAGACCCGCGTGTCAAAGGAACCTGAATTTGCTGCAGCCTCGATCAGTGGTTTGATGGGCTCGGCGGGCTCAGTGAACTTTGACCAAGTCACCAAGACCAAGACGGTGGAGAAGATCGTGGTTGAGGCCAACCCAGATGCGCTCAAGCAGATTGTGCCCCTCTTCGAAAAGCTCATCGCATGCCCAGGCACAAGTGACAGCAAAGCTGCTGCCTCAAGCCGCCAGTTCCTTGCTGGCTTGCTTCTGTCCATTGTTAGGTCTCGGGCTTCCGCCAGCGATGAATCAGAAGAGAGCTCTAAGGAGGTGCTCGAACACATTCTGTTCACTTTCGTGCGATTTGCCTACTTTGTGGAGAAAGACGGTGAAAGCCGTGGCCAGACCGCTGCTGAGCCAGCCCTCACTCAGCAGACTCAGGAGCTCTTCCGGAGCAGGATCAACTCCTGTCTGAACAGTCTGATCGCCAATCAGAAGTACACAACTGATCTTCCTTATGCGGTTGTCCGCAAGATTCGGGATGCAGCCAAGTCGGAGGAGTATGGCAAGTTTATCATCGCTATGGATGATACCCTACAGGATTCAGTGAAGGGCGCATTCAAGTCGCTGAAGAAATTGTCCAGCACGGTTCGTCAACCCGAAATTTGCTGACTACCCCAAACCCAGTCTAACGATATACAGGATAAGAAGGATGATACCGCGGGCATTGATGCGTTCAAGCTTCTTTACTCTATGACCATTCTTCAAGTGTACAACGGCGATGCTGATGCTGTTTCCATGCTGGACGAACTTGACTTCTGCTTCTCAAAGATCTTCGGAGACAAGAAGTCCAAGAAGGAAGAGACAGCAGATGCTTCCGATGCGCTGGTGGAGATTCTTCTGAGTTTCGCATCGAAGCCTTCCCAGCTCTTCCGTCGTATGAGTGAACAAGTCTTCAGTGCTTTCGCCGATAAGATTTCTGAGAATGGATTGGATTCTCTGGTCTCCGTATGTGTTTTGCCCCTCTTCGTTCTGACGTTCATCGAAACTAACCACATATCTCTAGATCTTGGAAGCGAAGGAGAGTCTTGCAGGCCAGCAAGAGATGTTCGAACAGGATGATGAAGGAGAAGAAGATGAGGAAATGATGGATATTGATGAAGACGACAGCGACGTCGAAGTTGTTGACGCAGAGGGCTCAGACGATGACGACGACGAAGACGAGGAGGAAGGATCCGAAGAGGAAGAAGACGGAAACGAGGACGAGGAGGCTATCTTCGAGGCCAAGCTTGCCGAAGCACTCGGACCGCACCGTGCAAACCAAGACCTGAACGATGACGAGGAAGACTCAGACGCCGACATGAACGACGATGAGATGGAACAGGTAGACCAGCAGCTTGCTAAGGTATTCCAGGCACGCCGGGATGCCCTGAGCAAAAACAAAGACAAGAAAGACGCCAAGGGGAACATGGTTAACTTCAAGAACCGTGTTCTTGACCTTCTTGAGATCTACGTCAAGAAATGTCACTCGAAACTCTTGGCTCTCGATCTCCTTCTCCCTCTTCTGCGTCTTACTCGCAAGTCTACCGTCAAGCAGATTTCGAACAAGGCCAACTCTGTGCTGCGCGATTACACGAGACTGTGCAAGGGTTCTGCTCTACCCAAGTTAGAATCCGTCGAGCCTGCCTGGGAACTCCTGAACTCGATCCACAAGGAAGCCAGCCACAGCGGCCCGCCCTCGCATGCTTCGTCTTGCAGCCTGGCAAGTCTTCTTATGGTTAAGGTTCTCGTCGCACACGACAAGGACAACATCTCGGGCATTGTGGATGTCTACGCCGAGACCCGAAAGCAGCAGTTCCTGAGCAAGAAATGCCATGTGCAGCCTTTGTTCTTCAGCGAGTGGAGCAACTGGTGTGTCTCCGCCAGCAAGCAGATGAAGAACTGAGCGTTGCTTCCTTGTCTCCCAGACTAGTACATAGGTTTCTTTAATCAAAACAGCCACTTTTATGGTATTGTAACATATTCCTACATATCCCGGACACAAAAATCAAAAGGTATCTCAAACACAAACATTGACCACACACAAACCAAGAGAACAAGCCATCGTTAGCTAGTAACGTCCCAACCACCCACCCATACATCCAACCAGTTACCTAAAACCCCTTAATATACCGATGTTCGTTCGTAACCTCAAGCACATCAAACCTCATACCGACCTCCAATGCCCCCTCCCCTCTGGGCGCACAAAGCATGCCAAAACAAGGCTTATACTTCATGCCCTCATCCACCCTCCGATAACTCATCAGCGTATCCCACGGCTGCGTCTTATGCTTCTCCGCCGTATCGGGGTCCACATTCGGCACCTGACACCTGGCACACCTGGCCAGGACATCAAACTCCAGCACCTTCCCTGCGCCATCAGCAATCCTCACGACCTTCCACTCATCCTCCACCCAAGGCTCACCCCCCTTCACAATGACATTAGCCCGGAACCGCTCCACGCCAATCGGGTCCACGCCCTTCTCCGCCAGCCGAGAATTCAGCTCCGCTATCGACGCCTCCGAGGCAACAAGCACGGGATGCACATCGGGGAAATTCACACTCTGCGTCCTTCCCAGAAGCCTCGGGTCCCCGTTGCCGCGCATCACCCTCGGCGTCGGACCCTTATAAACGAGACAGACGTCACGCCCCAGGAACGCGCTAAACGGGCCATTGACCTCCGGCCCGTAGATGTAGGCGTCCGTGTCAATGTCCCAGATCTTGACCTGGCCCAGGGTCGTGTGGGCGTCTAGCCACGCGGTGTCTGGCCGGAGGGGCACGCGGACCTCCTTGTCAGCAACGCCCGTGAATGTAACCACCAGGAACTGGCTGTCCGCGCTGAGAGCGGTGTTGATGAGCGTCATCTGCGGGATCTGCCGGATAGTCAGGAAATCGTGCGTGTTGGCGTCGATGAGCATCCACCGCCGGTCGAGGTCTAGGCCTTCCATGTGCAGCGTTGTCTTCTCCAAGCTGAGCCCGCGGCATGATTTGATCGGGTACACTCTCAGACACGTAATTTCGCTGCTGGGGTGCTTCTTTTTCTGCGTGTTGGGGAGCACTTTGGTTTTCAGCCAGTTTGGGATTTGCGGGTATAGAAGGGGGATGGTTAGGAGGGTTAGAACCGTCGCTATTGTGAAGGTTTTGGGGGTGTCTAGGTCTAGCATTTCTTTTTTTTCCCCTTCTCTTTCTTTTCTTTTGGTTTGCTTTTGGCTTGTTTTTTTTTTTTTCTTTTTTTTTTCTATATGCGGGTTTGCTTGCGCGCTGTAGATAGACTACGTTTCGCGGTCTTTTTATAGTGTTGGAAAAGTGACCGGCATATGGAGACGGATGAGTAAGCTTTGGGATCCACCTTCCGGTGGGTTTGGCTTCGGGCTGGTGGCCGTTGTCCTTATACTTGATTCCGCAGATTCCCGCTTCATGCTCTCGGTGTTTGTATCGGTCTCGGGATTTGATGAATGTCGTCAGAAGTCGTTTGAAATCCTTCCCGTCGGAAAAATCTACACAGACGGACACGGTACAACAAATATCAGGCTCGATAACTGTTTATATTCATCGATAGTAGTCAGAGGGTAGATAATGTATCCGAACCCTGATAAACATGTATAACTCAACATGAAAGACCAGGGAAAGTAGTCCCCTAAGAACAAATAATCACTCGAGAATTGAGTGACTGTAACCAAAAGCGCATCTGGAACCCGGATAGTGCACCGCGCCGTAGAAATGCAAGTATATATCTCGCCCAGTGCTCATGTTCTTGCTTTGCAAAAAGATACTAGCAACCTGGATGCCTCTCTATACCTGCCCGCTAACCCAGCTTGTTACAAGAGCTTTGATCAATCCGGCGGCAATATCTGTCCCTCTCTCAATGTCCTCGTCGGCACAAGATCCAGGCACATGGAAGAACACAACGTTTCTGTGCTGGCCTTGTTGAAACGCCTGTGCCAGGCTTGTATAAAAGATGAACTCGCAGAGGTAGCGTCCAGCGTCCTCTGATATCCGAACGTCTGCGCCGGGAGATACAAAGGACTTCCATGTGCTGAGGAAGTCCACATTGGGCGGCTGGGGGTTGAGACCCTTCTGTACTATGCCTGTGGGATCCGTCGCAGGACCAGCCTGGAGCACTGGCGGGAGCTGGTGCTCCCTCCATACCTTCTCTCCATCTTCATAACCGATTCTGCCTTTGATATCGGACAAATGGTAAGAATCTCGATGTGCCTTGGTCTCAATTGAATAGTATGATCTTGTGGCCGCTATGCCCATATGGAGCACGATGTCTGGTCGTCGACCTCCATGGGACTCGGCATAATCCTCTAGGATGGCTGGAATGGCTGTTCGCACTGTTGAGTAGGCGACGGGAATGGGAGATGGATGCACGTGAATTGAAATTCGGCGAGAAGAAGGCCCGGATCCAGACGGCTTCGCCGAAGGAAGGTCAAGTGACTGTGGTAGAGAGGAGGCAATCAAATACGAGGCATTGACGATGTTGGTTTTAAACGGCTAGTATGTTGTCAGCATGAAGGAAAAATCGGAAGCCAAGACGATCGAAGAACCACAAGCCAAGTATAAGACAGCTCAACTTACACCAAATCCTGTCACTAGTACCGAGACTTCATCTGGATCTGTCAAAGATGACGGAGCAAGACCAGGTACCTCCGTCTCGGGTACCGCTACGGGTGGGCCAAAGTCTCCCATGACTGGTGGATAGATTTAAGGAAAGTTAGGGGATCTGCGTGGAAACAACGTCTCTGTATCACAGTACGCGATAGCGATTCAAGCCACACTAAGGACAAAGATGAGGGACCAAGGATATATTAAAGATATCGAGGAGCTTCCCCCGCAATACAACCACCGCATGCGGGTCTTGGCATCACGCGATACTGATATCGATAAGGTGATAAGACACATGACCTCCCTTCTTGACCGCCAACCAAGCTTGAAGTATCAACATGCTCTTGACACCTGTGCTATTGATCCTGTGGTACTTTCTCGGGATGATATGAGGTAATCTTGCGTCGCATGTCTTCTGGCCGCTGCTGATTGTGCTCTTCGTTTCCGAGTCCTTGACCGACCATTTCCCCCTTGCTCCAGTGGGGGCAACCCGAAGACCATTGGGCAGCTCAGAAAGTTCACTAGTGAAAACGAGCTGTAATGTGTACTCGATAGTTGAGGATCACCGCTCGCTTGGTTAATAGCGCTGGTCTTCACCCAATTACCTTGCGATTAGAAGACAATGAAGGAGACTTGGGCAGGGATCCCTCCAAGCGAACAAATCAAGGAGATTTGGTATGTCATCTCAGAGATGCCGTACGACCCACTTCTTTCTATCCGGGACATCTTAATATTAGATACAACTACTCACGGTGGCTCCTCCCGTCCCAAGTATGTGCAGCAAGATGGAGCTAGTGCTGAACATTTACGGGCATAAAATTATGCTGTGAACATCTGAAACCCTACGACTAATCCCTCGAAAAGTTGCCGCTGTCCATGCGGCGCAATATGGAAGACAACTTGAACACAACGACATGCCTATTTAGGAAACCCAACTGCCTATCATCATTCTCCGCCCTGAGAGCCACCCCCATGCACCAAACAAAGAAATAATGTGCGGGGAGGGCCTGACAAGGTGGATGGCTGACAGTCTCGACCCATCGTCGGCAGCCGGCGGAGCCACTGTGGTTCATTGTTCAGTGTAGCCCAAGGTACCTCATCGTATTCAGCGTATCGAATATATCCCCACTTCGGATGTCACTCATTCCGTGCAAAGGGGGCTATAGAATCAGTCAATTGGAGGGCAGTTGTGTGCTTAGCGTGGGTATATAAGGCCACATCTAAAGCAAGAGGGCAGGGGCATATTCTCTGATTGATTGGCACGGAAAGCTATTACAAGATGCCTGCACTTGCTGAAATTCTTGAGAGCCATTACCTCTTCCAAGGTATTGCAGTGGCGTTGACTCTGATATTTGTGTCCAACTTTTACAGAGAACTCGCGGATGGCTTGCCATACCGTAAAATTCCCCTCGTGGGGAGAAGTAGATGGGAGATCTCGAACACCAAAGCCAAAAAGCTCTTCGTCACCTCTGCAAAGGATCTGATGGTGCAAGGATTTAGCCAGGTGTGTGACGAGTCTCGTCCTATCCTCGAACGCAGAAAGACAAGAGGAGATTTAGGACACTGACACTTGGTTTTAGGGTAGAACCGTCTTTCAGGCCATGTTTACTACTGGCCCGACCATAGTTCTGCACCCTTCTTATGTGGATGAGTTGAAAAACCATCCACATTTAGACTTCAGGGGGGCGATTAAAAAGGTAATCACTTATAGCAGTCGGCAAAGCCAAATATTGACGATCTCAGCTCTTCTTTGGTGCAACCATACGAGGGTTCGAGCCCTTTGGCGAACAAACGAATCCAACAATTGGCATAGAAGTGATCAATAAGAAGTTAACGCATATGCTGAGTATGGGTTTGTTGCTGAAAGAAATTGCCTTTGTTTCTAATAACTTTATCTTTCTGTAGGCCAGTTAACTATTCCTTTGTCAAAGGAAACCGCTGCTGTGTTGACGGACAAACTACCTGGATCCGACGGTATGAAGCATGACAGCAAAGTTTAGAAAGTCACTCACTGATGGTAAATGCTGCACGCTAGAATGGAAACCCTTCACTTTCGGACTGGAGGTTCCGCATATTGTGGCTCGTGTGTCGTCGCTGGTGTTTATGGGAGAGAAGATATGTCGGAATGAAGCATGGTTGAATGTATCAGTCAATTACACCATTGATGCGTTCAACGCGGCTCGTGAACTCAGAGACTGGCCAGCAGTTTCTCGGCCATTCATACACTGGCTGCTGCCATCGATGCAAAAGGTTCGACACCACAAAAGGGTGGCAGCTGAGATTGTTCAACAAGAGATCAATAGGAGAGACATGATCCGAGAAGGTACACTGCCAGAGGACAACCCCCCTAGAACGCATACAGATGCCCTAGATTGGTTTCGAGAAGTTGCTGCAGGCCGTCCCTACGACGAGACAGTAACGCAGATCGCTCTTTCTGTAGCGGCAATTCACACGACGTCGAATATGCTTACGAATGTGATGTATGACTTGACGGCCCATCCGGAATACATCCAACCATTGAGAGACGAGATCAAGGCTATCGTGGAAGATGACGGCATCCTGAAGAAGCCCAGTCTTTCTAAGATGAAGTTGATGGACAGTGTCATGAAAGAGAGTCAACGCATCAATCCTGTATCTATCGGTAAGCGATTTTGGAGCCGTCTGTCCTGTCCAACTGCTCGTGGTATTAGCCTGCTGACGTGCTCCTTTGCGAAAAGCCTTCTTCAATCGCGTTGCAACAGAGTCATTCGCGCTCTCCGACGGAACTTATATCCCCAAAGGTGCCAACGTAGTTATGTCAGGCCACTCTATGGAAGATGAGACGATCTATCCCAATGCCAAGGTGTACGACGGCTTTCGGTTTTACAACAAGCGCCAGGAACCTGGCAACGAGCATCGATATCAGTTCGTAACGACCAGTCCAGAACACTTTGGTTTCGGCCACGGCATGCATGCGTGCCCTGGCCGCTTCTTCGCTAACAACGAGATCAAAATTCTCCTTGTACACCTACTGATGAAATACGACTGGAAATTTGCCGACCACGCTGACCGGCCCCAGTCGATTCTGCACGGAACTGAAATTATATGCAACCCCATGGTGAAACTACTTTATAAGTCACGTCAGCCGGAAATTGACTTGTCAGCGTTGGGAGAGGGAACCACTGACTAGTTATTACCTTCTTTACTTTTGATGTCTTTTCTTGATGTGGCATGAATATCTTTTGTCTTTCTTTGATGTCTTTCTTTCCTCTCATTGGAGGCCAAGTGTTGTACTGTGGGAATGCACAGAGACGATGAGAATAGGATCTTTTTTACAGCGGAAAGTAAGGAGTAATCAAGTTTTTCCCTCCATCTGCCAAACCGTATGCATGTGCGGGACACCAGAGGACAAGATCTCCAACAGTTGGGCAACAAAGCACGTAAGGAGGTTTAACACTGAGCACGAGACCCGATGTCGCAACGATCTCATATAACAGCGGTGTTGTCTTCGATAATAAACGACACTGGAGTTACTCGACCAACATTAGTGCCTACTATGATAACTTGCAGATGGGTATGTCTACATTGCGTACACTATATACTACCTAGTTGGGTTCGCATATGCAATTCCAACATAGGATAATTCATGATCCATGGGTAAATCACTGCAGCTGTGGCCAGAGTTCTAACTGCAATTGTTTAAAACGTACCGGTGCATTTGCATGAGAGGTAAGGAGTATGCAGCATGTTGGGCTGGCCTCCATTGGCGGCGAGAATCAAAAAATAAAAGTAACCCCGAAAAAGGAAGTAAACAGTACTTCTGCATTGTTTATATCGACGCGTCGTCCGAATTGATAACAAGTGTCATTGAACTATGGTAACATCCCGAGTGGGTTCGAGCTAAATGGAAGCTATCTTCTGCGTATGGATACACTATGGAGACCTAGACCTCCATGTACTAAAATTAACATCCATTCCCGTCCCCCAAAACTTAGACGAGGCCACTGAGGTATTGGGGGCTGATATTATTAGCCTAATCCGGTGGATTTTTCACTTAGTTCTTGCATAGGGTCTAAGCGATGGACGTATGGACTCCATCCCCAGCCTCCTGGATTTTGGAGGTTCTTTTTTGGAGATTGAAAGAGGAGAACTCTTGTTTATATGGTCCATGCTTTTTTAGTCGATGGAGAAGTGGTTGATAGTGCCGATTTTGCTCAGGAACAGAAGCCTACTAAGGTTAGCCGCCTCAGGTAACCTCCCGCTAACGGCTTAAACTACTTTGGGATGAGATTAGTTCGTGTAACCCGTTGGTAAATTCTAGGGTACTAGTGGACCATGGGAGAAGATACATATATGTGATTGGATAAAAGCCTAGAAGAATACAGTAATGTTACCTGTCGCGCGTAGTCCGCGCGAGAGACGCGTTGACACGCGACACCCCACTTTCCCACGCGTTTGGAGCGGTGGGACTCGGAATCGATGGGCGATAAGCGAAAAAAAAGAGAGATGTATCGGCACATGTCAATGCTTCTCCGCCGTCTTCGTTAGGCACAACGGCAGTTACGGCCATTGACCCCTTCTTTCAACCTCTGCCCTTCAGGACATGCCCGGCACCCTCTGGTGAACCTCGTGCTTCCGGGGATAGATCCAAACGTCTCAATCCGGCGGCGAGGCGGTTAGTCGCGTCTGTCCATCCTCCTAATGCCGGGTGTGGTAAGACTAATGCAAGCCCAGTCTCTGTTGGTTCGTCTGTGACGGTGGTGGAGTACGCTTCTGCATGAGACTGGAGTTCGAGATTTCCAAGACCACTTGGACTCTCTGATGACACTGGCACGAACCACTCAGCGTGACTCCGAAATTCCTGGCCCGAAAATTTCTCCCAGCCACCGACTTTGATCACACGGTTTCCTGGATCTAATATTTTCTGTCTTATTTTTAATTTTCATTTTTTCCTGGCTACTCCTGGGAGAGAGCTCTTGTCGGAACTTCTGCAATGACTGGATGTAGATCACTTGACGTTGTGTGAAATTTGGGAAGTGATAATCTGATAGCCATACGCACACGTCGGTCACATCAATAGGGTTCCCTGACAGTGTGATTTTCCATGCATCCCCCCAATGGGAACGAGGTGTAATAAAACTACGAATAATTCTTCCTGATCGGTGAGCTGATTCGCCAGCAGTGGTTGTAGTGGACATCCCCCCCGAATGTACCTACACCTTACAGTTGGGGGAAATACCACGCAACTGTAGACTCAGAGACGAGGGAGAGACAGTAATAACCATAATACTCAAAAAGGACAAAATCAACAGGGTTGTAACCATCCGAGACATTCAAGTGGGCAAGGTATTTATTATGATCCAGTTCGTGCCGCATAACTTGAGGTCATCACTGACTCCGGATGATTTGTTCGATGGAATGGTTGGGCAACGCGGTGAGGCGGTGGAAGAAGACCCGCCAGTTACTAGTACATCTGACGCTTACCACTAGTACTGATGCTTGCTTGTTAATTTGTGAGTGGAGGAGGTCCCCGTTTTTAGAAACTGGAGGAGATTCTTCTCTGCAGATTTCAAGATAGTAGTATCTAGATTTTTTCTATATATTTTGATTTGTTTTTTCTTGGGTCAATCTGCATTTTGCCATCGAGGGGGAAAAGTAAAAATTAAAGAAAAAACAAAAATTAAAGGTTGATGGCAAAAGAATAAAAATTAAAAATTAAAAAAAAAGCAGTCGAGTCGGATGGCGGACTTGAGCAGTAACAATTCTCCGCATTCCACAAAACCAAGGCATCATCCGTAATTTATTTGGAAATTTCCCCATTTCACGCATTGTGATTTGCTCGATGGCAAAGTTCTCCCTCTGCATCGATTAAATAACCAGAAGGTCCCTAGGGGAAGGTATCCTGTTCACACTAATAACATACATCATCGGTATCTATGGCTGATACGGACTTGGACGTGACATCAATACTATACTTCCTGTACTTCGACCATTCGATGTTTCCAAATAATTAATTAGCATTGACGCCAGCTAACTACCTCTGGAACTAGGGCTGTTAGTGCTTGACGTGGTTCCTTTTCCGATCCTGAGTCGGGCTCCGTTGAGTGGAGACCGTTCCAAAAGCAAAGCCAAAGAACACTCTTGCGCACCGCCAGATTCTGCGCGCTGTCCCGGCGCCTTAGGCTTTGGGGGACCAACGGCCTTAGGCGTTCCCCCTCTGCGTGATCCTCCCGTCCCGTCCTCGTTCCCTTTCCTGCCTCCCTTTCCTCTCCCCGTTTTCTTCCTCGCTTCCTCGTGCACAACCATTTGTTGCTTCTTCCTTTTTATTTTCCTTGATTTATTTTTTTTTCGCCTACGAGCGCGTGGCTCGTACATTCCGTCCCTTTCAATTTCCTTGTCGTTTCTTTTGTGTTGGTCTGGCGTTTTGTGTCAATGACGGGTTTCCCTTCTCTATAGTCCCGGCTATCTTCAGGTACCAGATGGAGCGCGGGAGCCCTTAGATGTGATCACAAGTCAAGATTATATCGCATCGCGTCGACATTCACACAAATACGATCGCTTGCTATCCTTCCGACCACTCACACCTTGACGAGTTTGATTTCCTTGTTTGTTTTCCGCATACTTGTTGTTACGATTAACGAAACGAATCCCCCCCCCCCGAACTTACGCGCCTGGTCAACCTCACCTCAAGTTTGACCAAAGAAGCTGCACCGTTGACGAAAACCAAGACATTTCCTTTTGAACCCCCACCCCTATTGACTTTTACGAACTACTGGTGGACTGCTAGGATAGTAATTTCGGGTGCGCATTCAATTGGGTTAAAGAACGTGTGCGATATTGGATCAAAAAGTCCGCACTTCCCTTGACGCCGAAGATTATACCACTCAGGACGTGCGAAAGCTTTAAAAGAAGCGAAATGATATTGGCATAGGAAGTTTGGAACTGAGACAACTGAATCAACCGACAATTTCAACCATCGCCACCCGGCTTGATTCTAGACCGGTGAGAGATACGACAGGAACGCCGCGCATCATGACTCACCGACGGCAAGGTCTTTCTCGCACCTTGCCGAAAGACTTCACTTTTCCTTCAATAGGGGAGCCCAGGACTCCGGAACGCAACTCAATCCAGCTGGACGTTCCGCCGCCGCCCCCGCGCCATTCTAGTTGTCGTTTGCGCAGGTCCCGTGTGCGCTCAGGGACAGATGTTTTTGCGCAGGCTGAATATGATCGCAAACTTTTCCACCCTAACCCATCAGACATTCCGCTACCGTCCATTGAATTTTCTTCTTCGCATGATGCGACAGACATTCAGTCATGTCTATCCATACCCACAAGCAATGACCGCTTTCTGGCCCCTCCGCGGGATCGCGTAGCGTTAAAGACCCCACCTGCCCAGATCCGTGCAGCCCCAGTCGATCAGTCTACGGAAGATTGGTCAACGGATGATCCTCAGACTATAGGGGAGACCATCGAACGCCCTGGCTCTGCCTGTTCTGATTCTTCAGTCTCGTCGATTGAAACATTTTCCTCTCGGCGCTCAATGGGTGGAAGCTGTACGAGCATGGAAAGTGATAGCTTTGACCCATTTTTCCTTGAAATTCAACCAAAACATGTGGAATCAACTCCAGTGCCCAAGTTCCGGCGGAACAAACCCCCGACTCGAGAACGATGGACAAGGGATATGGACAATCACTTATGGAATACGTATCAGATTTACCTCCAGGATCCTACAATCACCCCCTTCAAGATGACACCGGGAAGTATTCCGCCATTGGGGGTTACTCACCGAGTCGCGCGAGAGGCAAAGAAGACGTGGGAAAGAATGCGTTGCAGACTTACCAAACAGCTTCCTTCCACGTCGCAACAATGTGTAAGCGGTAACTCAACACCAACCCCAAAGACTGACACCCCAAAGAACATATGGCCTAAATCGGAGGCGTCGACCAGGAGGAGATTAAAATATTTGTGCAAGAGGAAGTTCTGTATTGCGCCTCATTACCAAAGACTGATGATGTCCCGAAGCCCGACACCTGCCTTGGACATGGTCTCTCGCTCGTCGCGAGAATCGTCTCAAGCAGAGGCCTCCACAAGTGGCTCGGCAGTTTACGCCACGCGCGATCTAGGTATATCTCTTGTCTCCAGCTCAGTTCCTGGGCCCTTAACACAGTTGGCAATGGAGGAACCGCCAAATAGTAACAGTGGCGAATGGTTCAGTCAGCCCGTACCATGTAACGTTCCTCATGGCGCGATCGACCCATTCGCAAATAGACCGTTTAGCTTTGATGAACGGGAGATGGCACCCCGACTGGGATCTCCGTTTACCTATCACACGTGGGGTCCTAATAACTCGAGGAAACGAGTCCAACGCCATACGCCTAGAGCTCGAAGAGAAACAATCCATGTTACAGGCTCTCGGTTGCGGTCACCTCCCCGTATGGACTTATTCTCAAATGCGGACAACCATCATGTTGCTCGCGATTCAATGGCAGCCGTGGAATCTCCGAGCGATGAAGAAACACGACAAAACTTAGAGGAGCTCTTCCGACAGGGAAAACTCAATGACATTGGCCAGCGTCGCGTACGAATTCGAAACCGTGGAGCCACTATGAGTTCGGTTAATTCTGGAGGCCTTGATCAGCTCTTTTCCCCGCCATCGTCTTCATCTAGAATGATGAGAGCCATCGCGAGGAAAAGCCCGCTCCTCACCTGCGGAACCTTAGTGGGGAGGCTATCAAACGACTTGGTTCACCTTTCAAGATTGACCCACCTAAACGAGCCGGCGACTCGCCGGCCAGATTTATCAGGCATGCACCGTCCCGTTCGGAGCCTTTTGCACGTGGACTTCTGCCTCAGGCCAGACAGACAGCTCAAGTTGGCGGCCAGGGAACGTCGAATACCCTGCCATACGATCCAACTGAACCTGGTCTATCGGATGCAGAGCGGATCCGGAGACAGATTCTGAACATGTCTTACTCACGACAATAAGCCTGGTGTTACTTTGCCCGAGCACAATTGGCTATTCAGGAATCTGTCTTGATGGATCTGTTTTGATTACCGTGTTGACTTCGAATTACTCCTTGAATAATGACCTGGACGATCTACTGCGACTTGGCTTTTGTAGGCCAAGCGAATAATGACAGCAATGGCATTAACGACTAATGATATTGAAAGACAAAAACGAAACAAAAAAAGAACAACATTCTCCTGCTCTCACAATCTAAGACAAACAACGACAAAATGATACAAAAAAAAGCCGAAAAGAAACAAAAACCTTGACAATTTCGAGATTAGCTTTGACATCTGGGCTATCCCACGGTGCAAGCCCTATGCCAATTTGATGTCGGACTGCGTGACAATTCCAGTGTTTTCAGAATGGCCTCGTTATGCTTCAAAGCTGAACACTGATGTGCGAGTCAACTTTGGCCGACTATTCAACCGAGCCGACAGAAATTCAGTTTTCCTTCCCATTTTCTCCTATATTCGAACATCAAATACTCTCTTTTCTTTCTTTACTATCTCTCAGCAGCATCGGATATCAAACGACCCAATGTACGGCCCCGTTGGATAGCATGCATGCCCGATGCTGCATTGACAACATTCTCCGGTCTCGTTTCATTGGGTTCCACCGAATATGCACTCATACACTCTCTGAATTTTCTTTTTCTTCTCCAAACCGACCAATTCATTCTCTTCAACATACCAGATACATCGACTGAATACAGACTACATCAACCGAAAACTAAAAAAGAAAACTAAAAAATTCACCCACCCACGTCTATCCTTGAACCGTCTTCATCTTTCCCCATTTCCTCTATCTCCCATTGGAATCCCCTCCACCAACATTTGCAAAAAAAAAAATCATCACGCCGTTTGTTTTGCCTTATGATGAGCAGTGTTGCATCTTTTCTCAGCATGCGTGATGATTGGAATGGAGAGACGCCGATATTGATTGAAACGACATAGACGAAACGACCATGATGCTGCTCAGTGACGAAAGCGTTTTTAACGGCCTTGTGCAGCGTTCAGTTCAGTCCCAGTCTGATTGAATTTTTTTCTCTTCTCTTATATTCTGATTTTTCTTTTCTTCCTATTTATTGCATTAAACCCAACCCGACCAACCTACTATACTTACTCAAATCTATTCCAAGAAAATCCGAAAATCAGTTTTTAACCGAAGCCAATCTCTTGACTACTTACTTACTTATCCTCTCGCCCTCTCTGAAAGAACTACATTACTTTACCATTACATTTTAGCCTCTTCTTCTTCTTCTTCTTCTTCTTCTTCTTCTTCTTCTTCTTCTTCTTCTTCTTCTTCTTCTTCTTCTTCTTCTTCTTCTTCTT